CAAATGAAGAAAGTACTGTCTTGGTACTGGGCCTAAGTAAAATTGAACACAGTGTTATTTGCACACTTTAATTTTTTCCGAAACTCAAAAATAACTCAGACTTCTCTATGTTAAATCCATGATAGCATGCTGAAAATGTTTGTTATTCTCCTAGCTGAAGCAGAGTAATAAATTCTCGTCATATTCTGTTGCTTTCTTAGTGTACTGTTTCCTATCTTAGACTCTTTACTAGGAGAAAGGGAATATTGCCAACTTCACCTTCCTTGCAGAGGGGTAATAATATCAGGTCCATAAAATAATTCTCTATTGCTAGGGTTTCTGAATTTATTCTAAATGCTGACTTACATAAAGACTTTTCAATGCTGAAAGAGTATAGCTAGTAGTGAAAAATCCAAAGGCCATAAATGTGTGCTTTCTACAATTCTTTTTAACTAAAACAAGTAAACCATTTTTGCCTTGTTTGTCTAACCATAACACCTAAGTCATGGGCATCAAGCTCTCATTAACTGAAACAAAAGAAATATTTAGCTAATTCATTCTACATAGGAACAATATCTTGTAAATCTATATTTTTTGCCCTTAAGAGATACAAACAGTGTCTACCATGCTACACATTATTTGGAAACTTAAATCTTATTACTGTTATACCACTTCTTCCAAGATTTCTTAGTTGTGTCAGGTAGTGAAAGGTAGTATATCCCTTCAAGGACAAACTTCCATTCAAGGTACCTTTTTCCAACTTTCCACGTTCCATTGGTTTGTACAATGTTCTAAGTTTTCTTAGCTGTGACTTTGTTCCTTGACGCCTTAACCTGCAGAGTGACTGTGCTCTGCTTCCTGCTGGAGCAATACAGGCCCTTCTTGATTTCTTTCAGACCCTGTGCTTCACACAGGACTACTTATTCTAGATGGTCACAGTAGAGAAACTGGGTCCTGGGAAGGTAAATGACTATGGGCTTTGGGAAGCTGGTAAATTCTTGAGGTTCAAACTCTTGGGGAAGTGGGGGGGAGCCTAAAGCAGAAGTCCCTCTTGCTGCTAGTAGACACAGAGAAGCTAAATGCTGCTGCATTCAATCTAGAGCACTGGGGTGAGAATAATGCTACTGAAGCGGGTCCCCAGCACCCTCGCCACACCACTGCGGTGAGGATGTGCAGAAATATTCTCTGGTGGCCGTAGCACCCTGCTGCCCGTGTGCCCACGGAGGACGAGTATCCAAGCGTCCAGACTCACCATGCGGCTCTGGCTGGGGCCCCGCGGGCGGCGGCGGCGGATCCTGGTGCTGCAGTGGGGAGGTGGAGGCCGAGGCCGAGGCGGAGGCTGACGTGATGAGAAGCCTCTGGAAGCGGTTGGGTGGACGGCAGGGCACCTCCAGGCCGGCCGCCAGCTTGGCCTTGTTGGCACTGGTGAGCCTCTTGAGGTGCACGAGCAATTGCGGCTGATCACGGCGGAAATGCGGGCTGTGGAAGTGGTGGAGTGGCCCGTCGCCCGCCGGTCCACCGGCCCCTGGCCCAGGCCCTGGCCCCGCCGCGCCCGGTCCACCCAGCACCACCTTTCGGAAGCCGTAGAGGTTGAGCTGGCGGATGAAGCTGGTGAAGTTGGTGGTTTTGAAGAGCTCGGGCTCGGCCCCGGTGGCCCCCACGCCGCTGCCCCCAGCGCCACTGCCGCCCCCAGCGCCACTGCCGCCCCCAGCTCCGGGCCCAGGCGGGCTGAGCAGCTCAGCCTCGAAGAGCGGCTGGTCGATGAGCAGCCCCTCGCCGCGGCCATCCCAGCGGATCGAGCGGTACCGGGGGCTGTTCACCAACCGCCACAGCTTGGCGGGGAAGTTGTTGGGGTTGATGGGGGTGGAGAGCAGCGCCTCCTCCATCACCCCCGCCCGGGCCCTGGGCCTCGCCCCGCCGAGCCTGGCTCTCCCACCCTGTTCTCGATCCCCTCGGCCTTCGCTTCGCCCTGCCCCCTCCTGCCAGCGCCCGGACGCCGCGGACCCCGGGACCGTTGGCGCACGAGTCCCTGCCGCGCCCTCCAGCGCGGCCAATGGGGCCTCGAGTTCCCGCCGCGCGGCCAACGCAGCGCGAGGCGGCCCTCCCACTAAACGGCGCGAGGCCAGCGCCACCCGACGCCAGCGGCGGCCTGGGACACGGCTGGGAGAAGGCCACATTCCTTGGCGTCCCCAAACCGCACGCTCCGGGCGCTCCGGGTGGAGGAGTGTCGCCCACCAGCGAGTTCTAAGTCCTGCAAAGAAAGAAGCCCAGTTATCCACAGTGGAACACCAAGGGTCGGGTACTTGAGCACAGCCAGCGTGTGGGGATTCAGAATGCAGACAGTCTGCGTTAAGCAACGCAGAGCCACGTTCCTGAGAACAAAGGACCTAACTCTAACTTGAACCAACAGCTGAACTGCCGCTCCTGCCAAATAATAATGGTGGGGGTGGAGGTGCAATATCCCAAGTAAATAAATTCATCTTTTAGATAGTAGCATTTTTAAAAAATTTATTTTCGTTTTAGGCGGACACAATATTTTTATGTGGTGCTGAGGATCGAACCCAGTGCCTCACGCATGCTAGGGGAGAGCACTCTACCTCTGAGCCACTAACCCAGCTCCTAGACAGTAGCATTTTATATCTTAAAAATACATGCTTCTAAGCCAGCATTTTGCTCAGTTTACTCAAGGTTTGATGAAAACAGAGGTGCTTGGCAGAAGGGTATCACTAGAATACAATTCTGTGTGCTTTCAACCAGCTGGTGACATTTCAAACATTGAAGAGAAACCTCATTTAGATGGGACAGAATTCTATAGAATCCTTAAGAATAAATCTATTCAGGGTTGAGGATGTAGTGCCAATGAGTTTCTTGCCTAGCATGCAGGAGACTATAGGTTCCATCCCAAGCACCATAAAACTGAAAATGAGTAAATACATCCCTAACCAATCAATAAACTCAAATACAACAAAAGCTGTGCTGATTTTTTAAAAAAGAGTCCATTTGAAAAATGGAAATTGTTAGAGGAAAGAGGTTAATGTTTTAGTCCTTTTTTCATGGTCAAAAGAACAATGAATATGTTTACCTAAAAACTAAAAGGAATAAAAAGACCCAACAAAGCAGCACTAATATAGAGATTTTATTTAAACTGTATTGAGTTTTTACAGCACATTGCATGTTTGTCACAACGCAACTGCACAGTTTGGATTTTTGGCCACATCATGTCACTTACACCCACAACAGCTCTGAAAGGAGTATTTGATGAACGGATCTGAGCCAAAAGCCCAGAGTCTCTCTCCAAGGCCATGCAGTTTATTCACTGATGAGACAATCCCTCAAAACAGCCACACAAAATAGACAGATACAGTCTCCCCAAATGTTACCAATATTACTCCCCCTGAAAACAGGCAGAGTGAAGTGCAATCAAAGTAAAGTTAATTAAAAAGCCACTCATGACTGGCAGTAATTTTTAATGATTGAGAAAATGGTTAAAAGAATTTTATGTATCAGAGACAAGGAAGAGTTTGTTACTTTTTCAATGATCTCAGGAATTTCCCAGACACAAAATCTCCATTATTCAGCTCCATTTAAATGAAAAAAAAAAAAATGTTCTGCTAGGCTGACCTAAATACGCCAAAACTTTTTAGGTTACATCCATGGCAAGTATAAAAGCAGCACAGATGCTTCTCTGTAGACTGAAGAAAAGGGCAGGACAAATAACAATTCTTATTTCTTATTCTAAATGCAGATTCTAGTTATTTTGGAATGAATTTTTTTTTTCTAGAAAGCAACATGAAAGTAGCAGTGAGAAAGACAAATACCACAGTTTTAAAACAGAATAAGCCTAAATGTCATTTGCCTTTTATACACCAATGACTTAAGGAAAATGTATAAAGGAAATTCTAATGGTTTCATTATAGAACAAGGAGACTGTATCTGTCCCAACCACAGTACATGGCTATATGACTATCTTTTGGTTAAGTGCCACTGGTACATATTAAGATGAAAAAACAAAATCAAAACCAAAATTAAAAAAAAATTTTTTTTTGGTCCACATGGACACATTTTCTCTCCCAATTTTGGTATCAAGGCTTCATTCTCTTGTTTGGGTTCCATTGTTAAGTGCACAAAAATAGACAGCAGCATTTGTACTGAAACCCTCACATACCAAACAGCATATTCTAGGAGGTAAAAACCAAATGCTAAATTCTACCCTCAAGGTGTCAAGTGTTCAGGATAAGAAGCAGTGTGACTCAGAGGAGGCAGCAGCCAAGGGAAAGACAACATGGGGGAAATGGGCAATGGAATAACAACAAAAACCTTTGTTTTATTTTCATGCCAGGAGAGGATCAAGGTGGAGCTCCTGTATTAGCACCAGGACAACTAGGAAAAGTCAGGCGCGAAGGGTAGGGCACAATCAGCAGATATTTCACAAGATAATTTTTGCTTCTCCCTTCTCATTCACAGTGCATGCCTCCAGAGCTGCCTTGGCATAACAGAGTGACCACCGCCTTCACAGCTCTGATTTTTTCCAAGACTAAACATCAGCAGAGTTTTCTTCTGCTCCCAAAAATGTCTCACTCCCTAGAACTGTCCCCCTATACTGAATATTCACTGATGCTGGCTGATGAGCCAAGTGAAAAATACATTGAAACCTCCACTTGGCCAACCAGTCTATAAACCAAACTCCACAGAAAGACAGTACTAATTGCAACTAGAGGGAGTGCCTCTAAAGACTGAGCCTTCATGCACAGACACAGAGCACAGAGGTACAGAAAAGAGTTCATCTCGAATAGGATAGGAATTCCTATCTTGTATACTATAATCTGCTTTTTTCAAGGTGGAGGAGAAATGGGTCTGGTTATCACTTGCAGTTTGGTTATACATATGCCTTTCTATTGCTGTTTGGACACCTTGCACCAGGCAGTATCTATGAAATCATCATCTTGTGACCCCCCCCCCCCCCCCCCCCCCCCCCCCATTTAAACACTCCCCCCCCTCCCCCCCCCCCCCCCCCCCCCAGGAGAAAGAAGCTGGAGTCACCAACTCAACATTAAGCTTCCAGACTCTGGGTCTGGAAGGACCATTACCCTAAGTTGAGGGTCTCTCCAGAAAAGGACCTCCGCCAAATTGAAATTCCTCTGCTCCAGTCTCAAAGTACCAAGTAGGATTTCTCAAGATGATATCTTTGAGCTCTGTGATTTCATGAGCCATACCAAGGAACCTTTCAAACTACACCTGAAGCAGATCTTCCCTTCAAACCTGTTAAAACTGGACAGGTCATCTCCTGTGCATTCAACTGGAAGCTGTAGCGATGGGTTTCTTCAGATGTTGGCTCATGAGCTCCCTGGCACGAGATACTTGAATGTGTTCGTAACATGAGTTACAGACGAGAACTGGGTCATAGAGCTGTTGATCAGGAATGGGCAGCTTCAGGTGGCAGCATCCAGCACAAAATACATTCCCACAATTTCTGCCAAAACACAAAGAAGGAAGAGTTAATCAGAAATGCCAGTATGCTGAGAAAGAATTATAATCTAAAAGGCCTTCCATGAATGAACAAAGAGAAAGGTCGGTGCAAACATGATTCCTATAAGGCTTTATATCTCCATTTTCAGAGTAATTCAAATTAGTTCAATAACTATGTGCTGCACTTTTTTTAAAAAAATATTTATTTAGTTGTAGATGACCACACAGTATCATTATTTAATTAATGTGGTGCCGAGGATTGAACCCAGTACCTCACACATGCGAGGCAAGCACTTTACCACTGAGCCTCAGCCCCTAGGTACTGCACTATTTTATGAGTCCACAGAACATCTTACCTGCAATGGTGTCTTCGTTTGGCCAACCAGAATTCACAGTCACAGTTATAGCAATGCGATGCCATATGGTCTGGAACCCAGCGAGTCACCTAACAAAAGGCACAAGGAAAAATCCTAGGTCCTTGTCAATAGAATGGAAGAGCAACATTACAACAAGGAGAGCAGCCCAGGTGAAAATGACATGCATCTGGGGGAAAGGTCAGTCTATAGCATGTGACTTTATCTCTGAGAAATATAACTCATTAGCTCACATTAAGCACCCACCACATATTTGCCTAGACATACCTCAGTCTCCTTCTTATCCACAGGTTCCCAACTTGCTTCTGAAAGACAGTCTTCACTGTGATCAGAGCCAAAATCTTCTGTATCACTGCCATCTGACTCCTTCAAACATGTCTGAAAAAAAGGCAGAAAATATCAATATCACCTTCATCACCACTAATGCTGTTTACTACGTGCCAGGCACCATTCTAAGTACATTATATACATAAACTTGTTTAATTCCTCACAATAGTTTTGCACTGTGTAGTACTTTTATCTTCATTTTACAAATAAGGAAACTAAGCCAGAGGAAAATTAAGTTTCATGCCAGGCATTGTGGCGCATGCCTGAAATCCCAGGGACTCAGGAGGCTGAGGTAGGAGAATCAAAATTTCAGAGCCAGTCTCAGTAACTTAGTGAGGCTCACAGCAACTTATCAAGACCTTGTCTCAAAATGAAATAATTTTAAAAGACGGGCTTGGGATGGGGCTCAGTTAATTAAACATCCCTGAGTTTAATGGAAGGAAGGCAGGCAGAAAGATAGATTTAAGTTTTGGTAAGTGGTAAAGCTGGATTTGAACCTAATATTCTGGCTTCAGACCCATGCTCTTAATCAGTATGCTATATCACAGGGCAGAAAGACTCTCTCTTGTTGCATCCTAAACCAGGCATTAGCAAATTGGCCCACAAGCCAATATTTACAATATAGGCCAATATATCCAGCCCATCTTCATAAATCAAGTTTTACCAGAACATAGCCTAATTCATTCATTTACATTAATCATCTATGGCTATTTTTTAAAACATTTATTCTTTAGTTGTAGGTGGACACAATACCTTCATTTAATTTTTATGTGGTTCTGAGGATCGAACCCAGAGCCTCAGACATGTTAGGTGAGCGCTTTTCCTCTAAGCCACAACCCCAGCCTCATCTATGGCTATTTTTGTGCGACAAAATCCACATAGTTATGACATAGATGGTATGGCCCCCACAAACCCTAAATATTTGCTATCTGGCCTTTAAAAAAATTGAGTTTTCTGACTTCAGTTTAAAAGCATTACCCTGAATATTAAGTTGTTAGCTCCATCCAAGCAACTAGAGAGATGTGGGCAGAAGACAAGTGGGAGTGCCTTAACAGATGGAATGGAAATGCCTATATAGCAAAATATTATGGGGGAGGGCTGGGGTTGTGGCTCAGTGGTAGAGCACTTGTCTAGCACATGTTAGGCACTGGGTTAGATTCTCAGTACCACATAACAAAATGAATAAATAAAGCAAAGGTTAAAAAAAAATGGGGGAGAGAATGGATCCTAGAAGCTCCCCCAGGATTGTCATGCGAGAACCTGAAGCAACCCAACACAGTAAAGCCTGCCTGGTCCTCCTCAGCTCTCACCAGGATTGTTCCAAAATGTCCTAACCAGCCTCTCAGTCTGGATCCAACCTCCTACATTGAGCCAGGCATGGTGGCACTAGCCTGTAATTCCAGCGGCTCGGGAGGCTGAGAAAGGAGGATCACAAGTTCAAAGCCAGCCGCAGCAACTGCTAGGCACTAAGTAACTCAGTGACTGACTCTGTCTCTAAATAAAATATAAAATAGGGCTGGGGATGTGGCTCAGTGGTCAAGTGCTCCTGAGTTCAATCACCAGTACCAAAAATAACAAACAAAAATCCTACACTGTTGGTTAGGCTCTTGCTCAGTGATAGAATGCTTGCCTACCATATACAAGACCCTGAGTTCAATCCCCAATAATCCCAATAATTCTCTCTCTCTCTCTCTCTCTCTCTCTCTCTCTCTCTCTCACACACACACACACACACACACACACACACACACACGTAAAGGCTTATTCAAACTGTATAAGTACAGAATTCTACATCCAATAAAAATGATGAACTTAAAATATTTTTAAAATTCTACACTGTTACAAGAGTAGTTTTCTTAAAATATAAATCTGATGATGTTTCCCACTGGCCTAAAATTTCATTGCCTTGAGGGTAAAAATCCAAACAAGAAGGATACTTGACCCTTCCAATCCCTGTCTAATTCTCCACCTCCCCACCATATCACTCACCTCTCCCTCACAGTTCCCAGCACAAATATGTATGCATGCCTGCACCCAAACGGCCACACACTCAACCCTTTAAGCCAGGCCACTGCAGGACCTGTTACCTCCTTGCTTTTGCAAATGTTTCTTTTTCACTGTCTATCTAGCAACATATATCACACATTCTTCATTCAACTCAAGCATTATCTTCTCAAGACAGCCTTCCTTGACCTCTCATTCCACTCTTAACCCCCTAACACCTAATACTTTCCTCAATCATAATACAACAACTTTCAAGATGTTTACTTGCCTTTCATTCTATAGCCCAAGCCCAGTGGCACTCAGCAAGTGCTCAACAAATGAATGCTGAATGGATGGAGGGCTAAATGAATAGAATAACTGAAGGGATGAATGGCAATTAGTGAATACTTACAAAATCATCCTCATAGTCCATAGGGGGCTCTGCTGGAGGGGCACAGCAGTGACGGATATCCAGTCTCATCTGAAGCTCACGCACCTGTCGACGTAGCTGCTCTACCTCTTGCTTGTACCCTGCTTCAATTTGCCGTAACCTATGCTGGATCACGTCTGTGGGAAAGGGGAGTCCATCATCATCCAGGTAGAGTGGAGGCACTGGAGAAGGGCAGCTCAGTGGGACAGGCTTTGTGCTGGAGACTTGCTTTGGGTGACCAGACAACCACATCCGGTTGTTTTTTCCTCCTGGGCCAGTACAGTGTCCATTGGAATGACTAGAACAGATAGGTGACTTCACACCTTCTCTCTCAGCCCACTGGCTCCCAAAGCAGGGCCCTGTGGCCCTCATCTGCTTACTGCTTGACCTCTTGCTACAGCAGCCATAGGAAAGCAGCCGCCGAGGGGTAGTCTCCCCACTTGGGAATGAAGTCACCAAGCCTTGGAAGCTGTCCCAGTTGGACCCTAAGAAAGAGAACTCACTGATCTGGCTCTGAGAAATTGGTTTTCGGACCAATTCCAATGGCACTTTCCCAAAGCGAGGATTTTCCAGTAACTGCCCACTCCTATTATTTCCTTTCTTGCCAGTGTCTTCCTCCCTACGGATCAGATCCAGCACAGAACTGGGCTGTTCCTGATGGGAGATACCTGCCACAGACTCTGGGGGATCTTGGTTGAGGAAGTCGGTGCTTGGCTCTAGAGGAGTTTGGCAGGCAGCACTCGGTGGATTGCAAAGGTTGCCCAGACTCTGATTCAGAACACATCTGGAGGTCACACCTAGCACAGATTCTATCTGTGCCTGTTGGGCGGCACCCGTAAGAGAGTCCTGGGCAGACTGAGGAAAATCACAGACTTCGCCATACTTGCAGGGAGTGATCTTGGAGGGCACACTGATGGTTTCTGTTTCAGGCTCAGGTGGCTCTCCTGAGCCACTGAAAGTCCTACCCAGCTCATCCTGAGCAGGAGGGTCTGGAGCTGGTGCCTTAGTCTCTTCCAGGACTTGGATCTCAGGATCACAGGTGTTCTTCACTTCCCAGGGCACAGCAGTATTAAGCAGTTTATAACTTAGAGAAGAGCTTTTGTGACTCTTAAAAGTTTGTTTATTGCTCAGGTAGTCTTTCTGGTTGCTGGGCAGAGGGAGAGGAAGGCCTATTTCTCCTACAGTCTGCTGGGGACCTCCTACCCCGGATTCCACAAAGGTTGTCTCTGATCCTTCAGGATTGCTATGCCAGGGCTCCAAGCCAACTCTGACCTCCTGACAGTGGTTATTCAGGTTAGGGTCACTGGATGTGCGAGTCAGGGGGCTGCTTGTGTCACAGGCAGAAAGAAGATCGTCCATGGATCTGGTTTTAGGTAACCTAGAATGACAAATTTAACAACTCCAGCTCAGGAAATGGGCACCATCTCCAATATACAGACAAATTTATTTTTTTTTAACTTTTTTTTTTTTTTTGAGAGAGAATTTTAATATTTATTTTTTAGTTTTCGGCGGACACAACATCTTTGTTTGTATGTGGTGCTGAGGATCGAACCCAGGCCACACACATGCCAGGCCAGCACGCTACTTCTTGAGCCACATCCCCAGCCCTATACAGACAAACTTAACAACTCCAGCTCAGGAAATGGGAGCCATCTCCAAAATACAGAATCAGGTCTTAAGAGCAGTATCAAAGCCAGAGTTCACAAGATAAAAAACATTTAAGGTTACAAATAACCAATGTTCCATGAAAGAAAACTGCAAAAAGGAAAAAAACATGGATTTCATTGTTAAGAACTCAGGATCTGTCTTCAGCTTTGTCAGTATTCAACCTATATAACTTCCCTGGGCAATATCAACCACTTTCATAGTTTCAATTGCCTGCTATGCTGATGCCTTCTAAATCTACTATTCTAGCCAGGACCACACCTGAGCCTCAAACCTAATTTCCCATATTCTCCATCAGAGTAAGACAGAAAGAAGATTGGTTCTGGAGCTAGATGACATAAGCACCAATACTGATGAGCTATACAATTATAAGTAAGTTATTTAACTTGTTGGATACTTGATTTCCCCCTCTATAAAATGTTAAAGCTGGGCGCAGTGGTATACACAATTGGAAGGCTAAGGGAGAAAGATCGCCAAATTAGAAGCCAGCCCTGGGCAATTTAGCAGCATCTAGTCTCAAAATAAAAAATGAAAAGGGCTGGGAATGTAGATCAGTCCTAGAATATCCTAGGTTCAATCCCCAGTAGTGGAGGAAAAAAAGGTAATAAATTATACCTTATAAAGAGGTGCCATAAGGATTCAAAATATAGGAAACCACCCAGACTTATTAAGATGACCTCAAAACTACTCAGATATTTTCTAGAATGACCATCCTGATTTCTTAAAATTTATTTTTATTTTTTTAAGTATTTTTTTAGTGGTCAATGGACCTTTAATTTTATTTTATTTATATGTGGTACTGAGAATTAAACCCTATGCCTCACACATGCTAGGCAAGTGCTCTACCACTGAGCCACAACCCTAGCCCCCTATCCTGACTTTTAATGTAGTTCAAAGTCCTTAGAGCAATGAAAATTAAAGGAAATTCACCAGAAAACAGAAATCACTGGGCTCCTCTTTTCAGATGCCTTAGTCACTTTGGCTCATAGAGAAAAATCCCCTGAAGGTATACAATATAGCTTATTTTAAGTAGCTGACTTTTGAAATTTTATTATAAATAAATCTTTTAAATATATTTTTAAGATTACTCTTCTCGTGGGCTGGAGTTGTGGCTCAGAGGAAGAGTGCTCACCTAGCATGTATGAAGCACTGGGTTCGATCCTCAGCACCACATAAAAAAATAATAAAATAAAAAAAAAAAAAAGATTACTTTTCTCATCAAATTTTTGTTTGTTTGTTTTGTTTTGTTTTAGTATTGAGGATTGAACCCAGGGGTGCTCTACAATGAGCTACATCCCTAGCCTTTTCTTTTTTTTTTATTTTGAGACAGGGTCTTGCCAAGTTGCTGAGGCTGGTCTCAAACTTGCAGTCCTTCTGCCTCAGCCTCCTGACTTGATAGGTTTATAGGCATGCGTCACTGTGCCTAGCTCTGTGATCAAGTTTCATTTTCTTTTTTCTAATTTTGAGGCAGGGCCTCACTAAGTTGCCTGGCTGGCCCCAAACTTGTGAGCCTCCTGCCTTAGTCTCCTGAGTAGCTGGGATTACAGGTGTGGTCCACCACATTTGGCTAATTTGTTTTGTTTTGTTTTTGGACAAATAAAATGGCAGGAAATTCCAGAAAGGCAGAACCAGTGGTTATTACAGTCTCTGAAGTCTCATAGCCAGGGCTCAAATCCCAGCTTGAAAATTCTAAGAAAGGTTAAAGTACCCACCTCCTAAAGATACCATGAGGATTAAAAAAAATAATGTGCATTAAAACACATTGCTCAGGGCTGGGGTCGTGGCTCAGTGGTAGAGTGCTTGCCTACGTGTGAGGCATTAGGTTCGATTCTCAGCACCACATATAAATAAATAAAATAAAGGTCCATCAAAAAAATAAAAAACACATTGCAGAGCTGGGGTTGTGGCTCAGTGGTAGAGCGCTTGCCTAGCATGGGTGAGGCCCTAGGTTCAAGCCTCAGCACCACATAAAAATAAATAAGTAAAATGAAGGTATTGTGTCTAACTACAATGAAAAAATAATTTTTTTTTTCAGTTTTCGGTGGACACAACATCTTTATTTTTATGTGGTGCTGAGGATCGAACCCAGCGCCCCGCGCATGCCAGGTGAGCGCGCCACTGCTTGAGCCACATCCCCAGCCCCATTAAAAAAAAAAAAAATTGCTCAGTGCTTCTTATGTTATTGCATTTACTGTTTACTTATTTATTTCCCTCTACTGAAATTCCACAAGAGCTAGACTGTGTCTTATTTGAATCCCCAGTACCTAGCATAGAACCAGGCACATAATGTGCAGAGTAAATGAGCTCAGAACCTAACATCAAGTTTCCATTGGTAAGTTCCAAGTGAATGGAACAGATCAGTAGGGCTAAATGGTATATATCAGGAGCTTCCAGGACCCATCCAGGATCTACTAAATGAGATGAACAAGAATTAGGCCTACACACCTGTATTTTTTCTGATATTATTATTACTATTATTGTGGTGGTGGAGATAGAATCCAGGGCCTCCCACATGGTAGGCAAGCACTCTCCCTCTGAGCTATACCCCAAGCCCAGTGTTTTTTTTTTTTTAAAGAAATACCACAACTTTCTCTTTTTTTCTTTTCTTGTTTTACTTTTTACTATGGGAACGTTTAAGCATACAAAAAAAGACTATTAGTAACTCCCATGTACTATCACCCACAATCAAACAGCAATAGCCTGCCACCCTCCACAACTGACTCCTTTGTGCACCACAGGTTTAATCAGTGATGCTGGAATAGGCAGTCATGCCTGAGGAACTTAGAAGGAGGAGAGTTCATCCAGCTCAGGTGGTCAGGGAAGGCTACACTGAAATGGTAGGATTTGAGCTGGGTATCAAATGTACTAGACTTCAATGGAAGAAAAGGAAAGTAAACACGACATTTCTGATCTAGAGAAAGGTAAAACCAAAGGAAGTCAGGTCAGTTGCTACAGAAACCGATTCCTTTCAAATCCTTATATCATTTATTCCTCTAAACCCAAATCACCTTTTTGAGCTGCTTACAACACACCCCTTTGCTATCAACTAATATTTAAATACCCACTTCCCTGTAACACCTCTTTCTCCCCCAGATTGGTTTGCCCTCTTACCTTTTCTTTTCTTTTTTGGTACCAGGGATTGAACCTAGGGTTGCTTAACCACTGAGCTACATCCCCACCCTTTATATTTTGAGACAAGGTCTTGCTAAATTGCTGAGAATGGCTTTGAACTTGAAAGCCTCCAAGACGCTGGGATTATAGGCATGAGCCACCATTCCCAGCTCCTCTCACCTTTTCAATGAACATTGGTGGCACTAAGATTCTCTGACTTTCTAAGCTCAGACACTTGGGACCTATCTTGACTTTGAAGAGACTTCACTCTGCACTTCAATTCTTCAAATTTCAACCAATTCCATAGTTTGCTAATAACTTTACTATTGTTTCTGAACTGAATCCTCTTTTCCAGGGACTGTTCTCTTTATATTTGAATTACTACAATGATGCTGGCTGGTCTCTGTGCCTCTAACTACCCTGCTCACTGATAAGCTCTCCAAAAATCCCATCATAAGTAAGTCACAATAACTTCCTATGCTGACTGACTTTTGACAAATAAATCAAAATAACTTTTTTAATGCTTAAAGTACTCAGTGACCTGTCCCATATATATCTTTCCATTTCTCAGACTAACCCCTTTTCAACCTCTGCCAGCTCCAGAGAAATTTGTTTTTCAAAATTCTCCACATACCCAGTTCCTTTGGACCTCTCTCTGCCTGCCTTGTTACAAACCCCACAATCCCCTATGTCCCATGCTTTTTGCCCACTTAAAAATTTACTAAAGCACTTATTATGAACCAGGCCCTGAGCTAGGCATCTGGGACGTAAAAAATGACATTGCTCCTATCTGGTCCTTCATGAAAATTTCTTGAGTAAAATAGTCACCAAATGATATTTTAAAGCATCTCATTTCTCAAACAGCTTTGAAATACGCACATTTTTACTTGCTTAGATGCTTAGAATTGTTCTCTAGTTGTTCTGTGTTTTATCTTATAGCGTAAAAGTATCTTCAAAGCAGGATCTGTATCTTCTATTCTTTGTTATAGCCCACAAAAACCTTGTAAACACTAAGCCATTTGTAAGTATTTTTTTAGTTATAGATGGATACATACCTTTATTTTATCTATTTATTTATTGGTGCTGAGGACCGAACCCAGTGCCTTACACATGTAGGAAAGTGCTCTACGACTGAGCCACAACCCCAAGTTGCCATTTGCAAATATTAAAGAAATAAGCTACTAACTTAAGGTAATAATTATTAAACAGATCCTAGAGCTTATTAAAAATCTGAAAATCCAGGCATGGTGGCACACACTCGTAATCCCAGCAGCTCAGGAGGCTGAGGCAAGAGGATTGAGAGTTCAAAGTCAGCCTCAGCAACAGTGAGGTGCTAAGCAACTCAGTGAGACCCTGTCTTTAAATAAAATACAAAATAGGGCTGGGGATGTGGCTCAGTGGTTGAGTGCCCCTGAGTCAATCCCTGGTAACACCCCCACCCACAATAAAAAGAATCTGATAAAAAGCTTTTCCCTGGAAAAATAAACTTTTGAACCTAAACCCAAATTCTGCAATAGTATGGGGAAAGGGGAAAAAAATCACAGAATTCCAAAGCCTATCCCTTGACAATGAACTCAACTCAAAAGACCCTAAAACTGGACTTGGGTGTAGCTCAGAGGTACAGTGCTTGCCTACCACACACAAGGCCCTGGATTTAATTTTTAGCACTGCAAAAAAAAAACAAACTAAAATAAAAAAATTAAAATGTTGGGGTTTTGTCATCTTTTATAATATTCAACCAAGAATGTTACATTTTAACTTTAAAAACCTTCATCCAATAAACAAATATCAAAATTTGAAGTATGCACATGCTTCGAACACAGCATATTTGTTTCTAGGAATCTGACAAAAATACCAGCACAAATGCAAAGATATATGGATAAAAAATATTATTAAAATGTACATTTGAAAGGGGGTTGAACCCATGCTATGCACATGCTAAGAACATCCTCTACCACTGAGCTATGCCTCCAGCTGAACTATATATTTAAAATTGGCTTAGATGGTAAATGTATTTTACCATGATTTTTTTGTTATGGGTTTGATCTCCCACAGGAAATTTTTTTTTTTTTTAAATAGTAAAAACAATAAAGTAGCTTTATATATATTGTCATGGGATGACAGCCTGATCAAAGTGGGGGAAAATTGCAGGATGATATGCAAAACATTCAGGTTTTGTTTTTTAAAAACAAATATAATATAGAGGCAGGAGTATGTATGCTGTTTCAGTTTTACCTAGAGAACCAAGACAGTTTGCACCTGGGGGACTCAGGTGTACCTATATAGAGATGTTTACAAATATCTCTACATAGATTCATCCACACTGGGGGCCTGGCATAAAGCTTAGCGGTAAAGTGCCTGCCTAGCATGCATGAGGCTCTGGATTCAATCCCGTAATGCAAAAAAGGAAGAGATAAAGAGAGATAAACAACTGGAAGTGTTTGACAATAGACATCAGTGGGGACAAGTATCAGGAGCAAGTACTTTTGTTATCTCTTTTATTTATTTATTTATTTTTAGTTATCGGCGGACACAACATCTTTGTTTTTGGTATGTGGTGCTGAGGATCGAACCCAGGCCGCACGCATGCCAGGCGAGCACGCTACCGCTTGAGCCACATCCCCAGCCCCTGTTATCTCTTTTTATATTGTTTGACTTTTTTAAAATAAGAAATAAGAAACAAGGATTGCTTTTATAATTAAACAGCCTCCATCCCTCTTTCCCACAAAAATTCAACCAGAAAATTTATTTAATTTCTTGTTTTAATTTCTGGCCTGTTTCTGAGGGAGTAAAGGCCATCTCCCTGCTGGAAACCCATTTCCCCAAGAGTCAGATGCTTCTGGAAGCTAAAAACATTGTAAAGGTAAAGGTTACTAAGATAGCAAGCTTCCCATGCCTTGTATTAAGTGAACAAAAATCAACACCGTCCCCACAAATCTTCATGAAGTAGTCCTTTCTTTTTCATTCTCCTCTCCCTTGCTTGGGTATGTCACATGGGGTGATAGCAGCCCCAGGAAAGAAGGTAATCAACCTTATCTTAAGAGAAGACCTTGAAAACACACAGAGTGTATCCCAGGCTAGCCATGAGTCTATACCCATGTTTCTTCTTTAACTGATTCAAGAAGTTGCTTTTAAATAGCTCATTAAAAAAAGAAAAATGACTTTTAGGCAAGATAGGAATCAGTTATTACCTTTCTGGTAGAGAGAGAACAAGGGCTTTTCTCACCTGTCCAGAGAGCGGCCAGAAAACTCCTGGCTCTGGGCCACTGGGGAAAGGTAAAGATCCATATTCTCTTCTCCAAGTGTGCACGGAGATGATGCAGGCAGATAAACAGCTGTCCAGAGGTGAAGGGCTCGCACATGACAAACAGGATGCAGGACCTAGGGAGTGGCCCGATATTAGCGTTTTGTAAGATATTCCTGGTCCCTTCTCCTTCCCTAAGCCTTTGGCTCTCTGTTCTCCCCACTGACTCAGCCTCTTCACCCTACTGATTTCTAAGTTGCATTCACAGGAAAATGGCTCGGACTTACCATCTCTGAGCCGGGTGTATACAGGAAGTTATGAAAGTTCTTATTGCCAGCTCGCAGGAGCGCCCACACAGAGCATGTTCGCTTGTAGATATTGCGCTTCTCTCGCTCACAGGGGTTGTTCGCCAGGAATGTGCCATAGAGACAAGAGTACGTGTGCTGTACCAGTTTTACCTAGAGAGCCAAGACAGCTTAACCTGGGGGCCTCAAGATGCCATTCCCCCCACCCTGGTTACAGGCGTTAGGACTTACCAGGAATGCTTCATTAAATTCAAACACACAGGGGAACTGCTTAAGCAACTGATGAACAGAATCGAGCCACTGGAGGAACACAGGGCATTGTTCGTTTTGGTCCTCTGCATTCTCCTGGTGGCCACAGCGGTCTCCAAACTTGTGCCCAAAATCCAGCCAGTCAGACTCCACTAACACTTGGAAGCCCTGCAAAGGAAATAGTCCAAGCATGGGGTCTCTCTGGAAAGGCTATTGTGCTACTTCCCAGGGGACTGCCCAAAGCAAGGAGCTGGTGCCTTCAAAGAAGAACAGGACTGAACTAACGTCCTCTATCAAAAGATTCCCAAGACAGTTCCTCAGAACCTACCACCATCCCTCCTCCCTTATACCCAACCCCCTCTCAATACCTCCAATGTCCTGTAATACGGGTCCAGTAATATTTTGGCCAGGGCTACAATCTGCGGTGTCCGGTCCCAGCCGTCAGAGCAGTGCACCAGCACAGGCCGGCCTTCCCGGTCTACTGTATTAGCCACCAGCACAGCTGCTTTTAGCATCACTGACAAGTGCTGCAGCCATTTGGTACTTTCCAGTGCTGACAACCAGCTATGCAAGAACAGAAATCAAGCCCATCACTAAGGGTAATAGGGCTATCCACCACTCACAGACAGTTCAACCCAACAAAATCCCCAGTAAGAGCTGGAACCCAGAGGACCACCCATGGCCTTTTTGCTAAAAGTACCTAGCAAGAAGGTAGGGAAGATAGGACCTGAGGCAGAAAGAAGCCTCTTAGAATCTAAAAAGGAATTAGAAAGCATGACAAACACATTTAGCCACTTTCTCTCCCCAGTTCTCTATGTTCTTTGAGTAGGACAACTGATCTAAACAAAAAGAATCCAATGTCCTGTGACGGTGCCAAAGTATTGGCTGAGAAGTAGTATTCTTGGAACTGGTCCACTGTACCCAATTCCACCTAGGCTCTGAGGTCTCCTGTACCTCCAAATATCCCATCTCCTCAAAATCCTCCAAGAACAAAAAGTACTGAGTAAAGAATGAGACTGGAGGGATTTGCAATCACAGCAGGGAACACCTACTTGCTGGGATCTGGCATTTGGCTACACACAGCTCGGAGGTACTGGAAGCTGTTCCGGATGGCATGGATGTTGGCCATTCCCATAAACACGACCTCACAGTTGGGATAGTACTCTGTAGACATGAGAGGAGAGTGAAGCATAAAAGCAGATCCTGGAAATAGGCACCCAGGCATCCAGGTCAAAAGCATTTCTAGTGGACAAACATCCCCAGCAGTGAAGAACACTCCAGATGGGAACCAAATATACTCTTGAAATCTGAATCAACTTTTATCTCTGGATTCTCTGGTGCTATATAGTACTAGTAATATTAATGACAGTAATACTAGTAAGAATGACAACATCTAGTAAATTCTCAAATTTAATAGCTTTTATTAAAAATCTAGTAGCTTCTCTGTGCAACTAATTTTTATATATGCAGCCTCTAATCACCCTAAAAACTTTGCAAGGTACATATTATCCCCATTTTACAGGTGATAAAATAAAACTTGATGAAGAACTTCAACACAACTATAGTAAATGGCAGAGTCCTAGTTCTAAGCAATTTTGTTTGTTTCTTTCCACTCCACAAGTTGCCCCCAAACCACATCTTCACCAAAGACCCCAAAACACAGGGTGCCTGCAGACATTGGGGTAACAGCAATACCTTCGCATTCACAACCTCCACCCTTGGCACGGTTAGCCACTGCTGCTGTGTAGGATCTCGCATCCAGGATCAGTAGCTTTTGAGGGGCTGCTGTGCTCTCCACCCCAGAACACGCAGTCAGAGAGGAATCTAAATACACATAAGGAAGAAGACTTAGGGTCAGCTAGACATCCAGCCTCACTCAGACTCTGGTACTCACTCTCAGAAGAGAGCAATGTGCAACTAGAAAACTACCCATCTCACACCCCAAAGCCTTCCTGGGGTCTAGTAACACCTATGCCTTACCAAAGTCAGTGTCACACGCCTCACTGGCATCATTATTCCCAGTGCTCAGAGGGCCCCCACTGGCCCTTGTCCCTGGGTCCAGGGCACAGGCTTTGGCAATGGACGTGACCAGGTACTCATCATCAGCATTCCGCCAGCCCCACCAACTGATCTCAGGCTGGCTGCAGCGGGCAATGGCAGCCCCATTGCGAAGGTGTCTGACAAAACAGAAAAAAAAAAACAAAAAAAACATAATGCTCTTGGCATTCAATCCTCCAAAAGCCTACCACAGAGACCTCAAGGGTGCAAACCCAGGTCTCCAGAGCCAGCAGGGGCTACCAACTCATCTGCCCATGATAATAGCAACCAAAAGCTTTAACATCTCTAGAGAGCTTTACAGTTTACAAAGTGCTATCACACACATTTTCTCAAATGGGCTCTGTATTCCCAAGATGACCTTGACTCATCAAACCTGCACCAGGTACAGACATACAGCAAGAGAACAAGATCTGAGCCAAGAACATGAACAATTCTAAGCCTGATTACTACCTGTTTCACTCTATTTTAGTACAATGTTCTTGTGCAAGGGCCAGTAAACTTTTTCAGTAAAAATCCAGACAATTTTTGGCTTTGTAGGTCACAACCAGTCTGTTGTTATTCTTCTTTATGTTGTTTTAAATAACACTTTAAAGAATGTAAAAGCCATTCACAGCTCACAGGCTGTACATGAAACAGGCTGTAGGACAGATTTGGTCCACAGGCCAGTTTGCAACTCCTGTATTAATTCAATACTTTACACACACACACACACATACACATGCGCACGCACACACGCACATGCATGCACATACATACACATTCTCTCTCAAAAATAAGTAAATAAATAAATAAAGTGAATAAATCCCCAAAAGACTTATCCTTAGAAGAAAAAATAAGGCAATTCTTATTTTTAAATTATTTCCGTCACTTCTCCAAAGCGTATCCATTCCCAGCAGGCTGCCAAAAACCTCAGATTTTGTCTCTTTCCCTACTGAGTAAAAAAAAGCCTCCATTTTCCATCTCCCACTATCTCACCTGTACACAACCACAGGGATGCGCTTCCAGGAACGGAAAGAAGCCACATTCTCTAGCTCTTTATCTGTGATCCATACAGGAACCAGCAGCTTCTGGGGGTAACTGGGGCATAATCTGAGAAGAGACCAGAGGAGATTATTGAATTGGTCTATGTGATAACAAGACCCAGAGGATTTTTTTGTATGGGAAGAGGGATCAGGAACCCTCCTATCTCACAGACCCAGGAGCTGTGCCACCCCCTGCTTTGGTTCCCCCACCCCTGCCCTCTCACTTGTAGTTGCTGTTGATATGTGAGACTCTCCAAACATTCTGCAGGTCAAAGCCCATCCTGACAAGCTCCGCCTCCTGCCGACATCGTATGTGATCTCCTGCAACACAGTCCCCACAGTCTGTCAGCTTCCCAGAGTGCGAATGTCCAGGGGTGGAGGAGTTTCAAGAATTGAGGGATAAGAAGCAGCCTCCCAAAGAAAGCACCTCACTCACCTGGCTGACACAGATGGGTATGCTGGTCCTCCTCAGTCAACCCCAGGCACCAGGCATGGTAGGCAAAGGCAAAGAGGTCCTCAGGTTTGGCAGGTCTTGCTGTGGCCCGGCTTAGCCTTGTGAGCCACTCTTGGCACTGCTTGAAAGTGGAGAAGTGGCACCTGCAGGGCAAGGGAAGAGGCAAGGGACAGATGTGCCCTGGGGGAGGGACAAGGGACACTGACCTGAACTCAAGAGAAGCTGTCTCTTATGACAATTCCCAAGAACTTCTGTGTTTGAGACATACTTATCTCCTCTGGTGAGTCCCTACGTCAAATCTAGAAACTACCACATGGCCCTGAATCTCTGCACTCCCTGTTCCTACCCTACCAGTCAGTGCTATTTCCCATGACTCCCTAACACAAGCCTTCTGCTTCAGGCAGGACATCCTGTTCACATCACTCCTGCCTCCTTGTTCTTTCTCTTCTTCTGCTTGATAATGCCTCGTCTCTGCCTGTCTCTACTGACACTTTGAACATGGTTTTAGTGCCACTCCTTCCTTGAGTCCTTCCTAGCCTATCCTCTTCCAGATTCCTTCTTCTCTTGCATATTAAGCACCTGGAATATGGCTTTCCATAGCATACTGCTACATGTTAAGTCTTCCTTCAGCAACCAAACTTTAGCTTCTGTGAGGCAAAGGGCAAGGTGGATTCTTTCTGAATCTGCTCCAGATTTGAGCATATGGCAGGCCCTAAACCAGGCATCCTTCTAATACTCCTTGTAGCCATCTCAGTCACTTTTTTCTCCCATGATCCAATCTTTCAGCAAATCCTGTCACCTCTTCCTTTAAAATACACACAGAATCTGACGACCTCTCCGCATTTTGGCTGCCACCACCCCAGTTGGGACGCTACCATCTCTTGCCTAAGTAACTGCAGTAACTTCCTAACTCACTTCCCAGTTTCTACCTTGATTTGTCCCTGTTCTTTTCCATCTAGTCTCAATACAGCAACTAGATGATTCCAAAAAACATTATTCAGATCACATCACTCCTTAGCTCAAAATCCACTAGGGGTTTCCCAATTCTCTCAAAGTAGAAGCCAGTCATTGGGACTCTCTGCTTTGCTCTCAGACCTTATATTCCACCATCATCACCTCCATGCACTCCACTCCAGACCACTGTCTCCTGCCGTTGTTCTTGCAGTGTGCAGGCACAGGTATACACCCACCTCAGAGCCTTCGCAATCACTTTCTTCTGTCTGGCATACTCTTCCCTCAAATATCCACACATTCACTTTCTTCAGGTCTTGATTCAAGTCACCTTTTCTGATCACTTGTTTAAAGCTATAGTCTTCATCCCCATAGCACTCCATGCTCCTTCCTTGCTTTATTTTTTTCCTTTATAGTTATCATTTATGCCAGAATCTCCCCACTGGAATATAAGCTCCATAAGGAAAAAAAAATTCATCTACTTGCTTTCTGTTGTATCTTTACTCCCTAAGATAGACTGGTCTGAAGTATTCAATAAGCGTATGTTAAATGAATAAACAGATGAATCAACAATAATGTGGAGTGCTCTGTACCAGGTATTATCCTAGTTGCTTTTATGTGCATTATCTCATTTAATCCTCATGATGACTCCATGAGCTAAATATTATCCCTATTTTTTCAGATCAAGACACTATAGGTCAGTAAACTGACCTTCCCAACTGAGAACAGTTTTTACCTTTTCCTCCAATGGGGAAAATAAAATAGTATCTTTCCTCTCTTGCTCAAAAGAAACTTGCAGCAGAGATGTCTGCACAAGACTAGGGTGAGGGGACCTAAGTAAGGTCCCATTGTTCTCACCTCACCACTTTGGAGTCCTTGCAGGCAATGTGCAATTGGAACATATCACGGCTCTCCACGCTGTCAATCATCCGGAGAGGTACCTTCAGAGGAAGGACAAACTGAGGTTCAGATCCCTCACCTCAGCACCACTCCTCAACCCCACTCTGTCCCAGATGCTGATGTACCATTGGAAGTAAGAAAACTGGCATTTATTGAGAAACTGTTAAGCGCCTTGTAACTATGCTGGATCCTTGACATATCTGGCCCCAATTCACAATTATAATAATCCTGCAAGGCAGATATTTTCACCCTATATTGTAAGGAGAAAAATCAAGGTGAGTTAGAAGATTTGTCCAAGGTCACACAGCTGGTAAGTGGCAGTACAGGAAAAGAGCTCAGATTTAGCTAACCCCAAAGCCTGCACCTTGCCAACAATGCCACTGTGCTCCTTCGAAGAACCAGCAAGACTAAAACAAAGGGGGGAAAGGAAGAATGAGCCTGAGAGACAGAAAAATAGACTTACAACTAGGAGAAAGAGGATAGTGACAAAGAGAAGGAACCCCAACTTGTTTTGGAGAAATGATCAGGTACAACATTAGAACAATATCATGTTGAACCTCACAGGGAGTTAAACTTGGATGTGGGAAAACAAGACAAGAACTTACGTTGATGACAGAGTCCTTGAACTTGATATGCAGCCGGTAGTTAGAGATGGCAATGAGGGCATCGGCTGCCCGGCCCAGGAACTCCACTCCCTCTCCCTGAAGCACTGTGAAAGGTACCTGCCAAGGGGCAGAGGAACCCTCAGTCCATAATTGTGTTGCCCCTCATTCTCCTCTGTAGTCCCTGCTCTGTAGAATCTTCTGTGGCAAAACTGGACCAAGGCAGCAAAGGAGAATCCTCTCCACAGTCAATACCAAGTAACCGCTGCACAGGAAAGCTGCCTTTCCTTCTCTGAGGTCAAAGGCTCCATAATGTACACACAGACCCCTCAACACCACCCTATGACATCCCTTCAGAGAGCTGGAAGCCAGAGCTTCAGTATTAGAACCTCTTGGAGATTTTGAGTGGGAAGAGAGGGTATGTTTTAACGAGTTAGAGAGCCCTACACATCTAAGCCTCTAATTCCTCCTTACCTGAAGATTTTCCTCCTCCTTCACCAGTTCCTTGGGAGGGAACAGATCCTTGGCTTGGATATACTCCAGGCTGGGAGGCCCCTCCTCACCCTGTTGGAAGGCCAGAGCCATGAGTTGCCAGGCTCAATTTGTCCCTTCAGGCTCATTCATTCCCCTCCTCCCACTAATAAATCTACAGCCCCCCACACAAACACACACACTTGCTTCTCTCTTATTTCTTCCTTTTCTTTTTTTGGGGGTGGGGTGAGGGACTGAACCCCAGGTTGCTTTACCACTGAGCTATATCCTCAGCCCTTTTGTTTTTTGAGACAGGGTCTCACTAAGTTGCTGAAACCAGCCTCGAGCTTGTGATCCTCCTGCCTCAGCCTCCTGAATCACTGGGATTACAAGCATGTGCCACAGTGCCTGGCTTTTCTCATTTTTTTCCCCTTCTTCTTCTAATGCCACTGGAGATTGAACCCAAAGGCACCCTACCACAAGCTACATCCTGAAACCTTTTTATTTTTTATATTGAGACAGGAGTCTCACTAAATTACCCAGGCTAACTTTGAACCTGTGATCTCCCTGCCTCAGCCTTCTGAGTAGCTGGGATTACAGGCAAGCACCACTGCATCCAGCTCCCACACATGCTTCCAAAAGGTTCTGACCAACCAAGGAGAGAAAGGAGACCTGGCTTAGTTGGAGGTGGGAAAGGGTAATATAGAGGCGGTACTCAAGCCTAGTAAGCATAACTGGAGAGTGAGGGAGGCCAAGGAGGAACTCTCCTGTGGAATCAAAATTTCAAATGAAAGAGGGCAGAAAACCACAGGGGGGAGGGGGACTAATGTAAGGATCAGACTAGGAGTGGGAAAGTGCTGTTCTGAGGAAAAGGAGCCAGGTGTGGCAGCTAACCTACAGCCACTGAAGCGCTAACCTGGTGGGTGAAGGAGACAAAGAGGAACAGGTTGGGGGGATTCAGTGGCAAGCCTCTAGAGGGCCTTCAAGGAGCTTTCAAAAGGAGGATATGTTTTGGAGCTGAGTTTATCTTCCTGTTAGGCCCACACTGCTATCAAGCCCCCACTACCTGCCAAGAACCTGCCCAGCCTGCTGCTCTGAGGGGAATTCCTGAGGTATACCCATAGCAAGCAGAAGTCACTCCCCTCCTAACCACCAGGGAGGAGAAAAGAGGGGATCCACTACCTGGAGGAAGAAGACCCAAGGACAGCCAGGGGAGAGAAAGAAAGAAGGCCTGGCAGACACCCACGGGGAGGGGGTGTGTGTGGTGTGTGTGTATGGGAACATCTGAGAGGACAGATGGGGGAAGCTGAGAAGGAGCATTAGCCAGAGGGGAGGAGGGGAAGACTGGGAATGATGCAGAGGTACAGAGCCCTGCAGTGGCAAGGGAAGATGGAGAAAAGAGAGGTTGTCTGGGGGACAGTCAAGGAGAAAAGAATGGCATGTCAGGTGAAGGATAGGATTATGGAAGGGGGAGGGGACTGGAACCCAGGAGGCAGCTTGCAAACATCCTTTGCTCCCTGACCAGCCCCCTAACATCCCTCACAGCCTACTAGCCACATCCCACATCCCCAAGCAAGGATGCAGCGGGTGGGACCAAAATGGAGAGGCGGAGGTAAAAGGATGTACCCCTGTAGGGCGGGGCCTGGAAATCTGCAGTCAAGGGCAGTGGCTGCAAGACCAGAATGGGCCATAGAATTTCTATCCTAGGCCTTCGATAAACCCCAGCATCCAAAAATTGAAGCAAGTCCAAGAAAGAAAAGAGCTAACCCTTCTCCCAATTCCCCAAACGTCCAGGTCGGGCCAGGGGCCTGAGGAAGGGACAGGGTTGAAAATTAATATCCCAAAGGCTGGACCTGGGCGGGGCTGCGAGTGCAGCAATCGTTGGAGCCCCCCCGGACGCCGCAGGCAGGGCTAACACTTACGAAGCAGCTAAGCATGGAGCAAGAGACACGGGCGGTCAGGCTCATGGTCGCGGGCGGTCTGGGCCAGCGCACATGTCCCTGGAGCCGCTGCGCTGCCCGCCAGGCCTGGGCGCCCGCCGCATCCCGGCTGCGGGGCCTGCCAGGTGCAGCAGAGGCGGCCAGGAGTGAGCGGCTGGCGGCGGGGAACCGGCTAGGCTCCCGCGCGCCTCTCCCCTCCTGTCCACAATGGAGCGGGCCCAGCTCCGCCCTCCAGCACCAGCGCGGAAGGGAGGGGAGCAAGGCAAAGGGAGAGCCCCGGGATGGCGCCCGGAAGGCGGAGGCAGGGCGGGGCTGCTGTGCGGGGCCCGCCCCCACCCAAGCTCCTCCCTTTCCATAACCGCGTGGGAGGGCAACCCAGGGCATTCTGGAGTCCCAGCTGAGCTACCGCCCAAGGCTGCCTGGGAGGTAGAAGCAAGCCCGCCTCCACCTTTTCATTTCAACCCACTCCTCTTTTATCATACAAGCTTCTCTCCGTCCTCCCCTCCTCCCTAGGTTCCCCCAGCGCCAGCTCTGGATCCCAAGATGGACCTCACCGGGTATCTCCATCCCATGCCCTTTCCATCCAGTTAAGTGCTTGTTCCTTCTCTCCAAAACTACCACCCACCATACCAGGTCCATCAGTGTCATCCTCCAATCCCCTGACCTCAAAAAATTCTTTTGGTTCCTTTAGAATGGACCCTACTCTAGTGCCAAGTTCGACATTCATAGTCCTGAAAGGAAGTCCTTTATGTTTTTTTTTTTTTATTTCATGGCCCTGCTCAACCCTACTCCTTCGACTCCATATCTCCCTTGTTTCACATCCTCTGATCTCTGGAAAGAAAATCATTCTTGGAGAAAAAATTTCTTAGTCTGGGAAAAAGAAGAACTGGCATTATGGACCACAGAAGCTATACAGAAACAAAACTTGAAGCCCAGGGGTAGGGCTGGAAAAAATTGGGTAAAGTTCCAAAGAATAACAAGTAATAAGGGACTCAGTATCACCAAGAGTCAGAAGGAGACGGCTGGAACCCCAACCTTTCTGTGTCTAGTAAATTTCAGAAAGTAGGGCTTTTGTTGTGGAGGAGGGGACAAACAGGAGAAAATCTGACATTTTAAGCATCTACTTATGAGTCAAGCTGTTTCAAACATTACCTCACTAAAACCTTTCAAACCTATAAGAAGTAAGCCTTATCCTGTTTTTCAAGTGAGACTTCAGGCCTAGAGAAAAAGTATGTAATTAATCTAAAATAGGTTTGCTGAGAAGAGACCAGACCAATATTTCATCCATCATAGATCCACATGTCTGTGGAAGGAAGGGAAGAAGGAGGGAGTCCTCTCACCATCTGAATGTATTAACTGTCCCTAAGCATAGGGGACATCTGAAAGAAACTGAAGAGATGCAGTCAGGTTGAGGGCCTGGTCTGGCCTAGTACTCCTTTCTCATCTCACTGCTTCCTCCTCCTAGCTCTCAGGATATAAGGAGTACCCTGAACTTGGAGTGAAAGAAGAGCAGGTGCAATTAATGGTAAATTTACAGGACTAAACCCCTAGTGATTCATCATATTTTGGGTATCTTCAGGATGCCTTCCTACTATACATTCAGCCAGCTATTGCCTACAGTGGCTTAGCAGCAGCACTTAAGAGCTAAAAAAGCCCATGATTTTGGTAGAGTCACTTGACACAACACCCACAATATTCAAGGGGGCCCACCAGAAGTCCAAGGGTTTTAAATATAGAAGGTATGGCTTTTTAGACTGGAACACAGAGATTTACTAGAGACTCAAGAAAAGAGGAGAGCTGTTATGAAAGGCTAAGGAAGTCAGTGGTATATAGATAGTAAGGGGAAGGAATGACTTAGAACATGCAGAAAAAGACTTCTAGATATTTCTCATCCCAGTGTTTTATACTGCTTGATGCTTTTCAATCTAAAAAACCCTGAGTTGGTGGTATAGCTCAGTGGTAGAGAACCTGCCTAGCATGGACAAGGCCCTCAAAAAAAGGTGGGGGAGGAAAAGAAAAAACAAGAAACCCTAATTTACCTCCAGTGCATATGAACATGTTTAGGAGCTGAATAAAGTAGCTTGGAGCTCAAAGTCCAAGAGAGGTGGGGTGGCTTCACAGAAACAGACACAAGGGTTACAGAAAACAATGATTTGAGGAAAGAAAGAGTACTCACCATTCTACCGTGGTGAGGGTCCTGGCTGACTGCTGTCACTATAAGGAAACAGAAGAATGTAAGAGTAAATAGCACCATTGATGTCACCATAGAATCAACAAAACCCACACATCTACCCCTAAATCTCTCTTCAACTCTTATTTTCCTCCCTTACAGAGGATCCAGCCTTTCACAAGTCACTATACCAGACAGAAACAATGGGAGCTACATGGAAAGAAAGCAACAAGTGATCCTGCAGGGTGTGAAGTCAGTCACAAAGTTCTGGAAGTGTCATCCAGACTTATTCAGCAGAACTCAAGAGTCCTGACTCCCAGACCAAGAAGTAGAACACTCCAACCCCTGTTCTTTGCAAGAGAACAGAAGAAATGCCAACTCTGAAGACACAAAAGATGTCCAATTAAGACTCACTTTGGGCCCTAGTGGGGGAATCCACAAGACTGTTCTGCCAGTCTGAGTCTGGGAGTAGCACCCACTTGACCTCCAGAGTCCAGAGCAGAGGACAAGAGGGAATGGGCCACCACCTGTGATAAGAGAGCAATAGGGCTGGACAAGTCCTGCTGAGTGTACTTAACATCAAGTGAGGTGGAATCTATGGGGTAAAAGACCACAATCTGGGCAAAATCAGGCCAGTCGGGCCTTGGAGTCAGCATCTGTCTAGTGGGTCCAAGTAACGGGGATTTCAAGATGAGGCCTCCTAAACCCACTTAAGGAACCAGGTCCGCTGACTCCTTTTTGCCTGCTATACTCAGGGGCAATGCAGCAGAGTTCCGCAAAAGGCTGCAAGGATAAAAGCCTCCATCTGCGGTCCTGCCTGCCTCGGGGATCACAGTATTCTCTTCCCCAGCCCACCCTCCCTCATGGGGGAGCCCGCAAACGGCAAGCCAGAGGTGCTGCCTCACCGCCCACTGGCACGCAGCCTCAGAGGAACGGAGAGAGACAAGGGGAAACAAGGACCAAGCCTAGAAGGCCCAGGGCTTCCGGACCTACGGAATAAGGTCCCCAGAGACAGGCCAGGCTGGCAGGGGATTCCAGGTGCCCAGGTTCTAGAGGCGGAGCCTAAAGACTCGGAGGCGGAGCCCGGAATGACAGAAGGCGGGACTCAACAAAGCCGGTGGGGGCCGGGGCGGGGCCCCGGCAAGACGTGGTCCCAGTTTCCAGGCTGGCAGTGCACAGGGCACAGTGACTCACCCAGGCGGTGTCCGCCCGACCCTCCAAGGCAAAGCTCTCACGACTTCCGTCTCCCGCAGCTGCTGAGGCCGCGCAGCTCGAACCCCACCACGGTGCCCCTTTACCCAACCAATCGCATCTCTGGCCTGTGCCCGCCCTGGCCAATGGCCATGCCAAGTCCCGCCCTGCCCCCACCACGCAGCCGCCGCCCTCACTCTACATTCCCCTCATTGGTCAAATGGGCAGACGCCTTCCTAGCCTTTAACCTATCAGATGCCCAAAGATGAGACTGTACCTGGAGGGAGGAGGCGCGGCGCCGGAGTTCAGACGCGACCAATGGGAAATCACAGCGCGTCCCTGCGGCAGCCAATGAGAAAGCAGTAATACAGAGCTCCTGACTCCTCAGAGGGCCGGAAGTGGGAGCGGCTTGTCGCCTACCGGTAGCGCAAATGGGGGCGGTGCCTTGTAGGGGCACTGGCCTTGTAGTCGCACTGGCCTTGTAGTCACTTCCGGTGACGACCCCACCCTAGGGGTATCTCTGAAATATATCCCCGGTGGCTCCTCATTATGTCCAATCTTGTTTGGGTTTCCATGCGATTATCCAGTCCCAAAGCTGAAATGGGGGGGGGGGGGGACGCGGGCTCGAGAGTGGGAAGGGCTGAAAGCCTGAAGCTCGGTCTGGATCTTCTCCGACTGGTGGCTCTGGTTTTTCCCTTTTCCTCTGTCTTGACAGGTTCCTCCAAAACTTGTGCCGCCAGTCCTGAGTCAGATCTCTTACCCGAGAGATAGGAAAACTGGATCTGAGACAGCCACTAACTAGCTGCGGCCTCTTGTCCATAAAGGAAGAGGGCAACAGGGCATTCACAAGTACCTAACTCCGCTCCCTTGGGAACCCAGAGCAGTCAAGAAGGACGGAAGGTGGCCGCTGGAGGTCGCCGTGGCCTCGCGATACCACCAACAGAAATGGAGAACTGTTGATGCAGATTGCCAACAAAAATCCTCAACTCTGGAGTGGGCTTTGAATGCATAACACCAGGCCACCGGGCTAAAATATCTCCAAACGTCTTTGTTTACAGAGCATTGCAAACCCCCTCCCCTCCAGTATTGGGGATCAAAACCAGGAAACCATCGGAGCTCTCAAGACAGGTCTTGTGGTCCTCCTGCCTCAGCCTCCGGAGTAGCTGGGATAACAGACGTGGCAACGGTTGCTCCCACCTAGAGCATTGGAACTTTTATTACAGTAAGTTCCAGGAAGACACGAACCTTATTTGTGTCCAATACTTTAACTCCAGGGTCTAGAACAGTGACTGTGGCCGAGCAGATGCTTAGTTTTTGAGTACTGAACTCCTCCAGGACAATGATGGTGCTTTTATTCACTCCCAGCATTTATTATAGTATTTGGTGACTACAGGGCCTTCAGCATTTGTTCAGTGCTTTATCATAGGCTTCCTAGAGCTTAATTCTGCATGTCCCTTTTTCCAAGATGGGGGGAAATAGGAAGTCAGGAGGTTGAATGCAGTTTATACCTTATGTTTTCCCAAGGGCTGGTATCAAATCCAAAACTGCTATAGAATTGAGGTTACTGTATATAAGAAAGATACAGGCAGGCCCAGGCCCCAGATAGTACAGTAGGATAGATTTGATCATTAAGATGAAGAAGTCAGGCTATATTTTAAGCAGGGATTGAAATGGGAAAGGGAAATTTTCCCCTCTTCCTTCCCTACTACAAGCCACCAGCATCCCCCTCCATCAGGCTTTCATACTGGGTCCTAGGATCTTGGTTTCCGAGAGGTGGTAAAGATGCAGACAGGGATACCAGAAGCCACATATAGATTTATTAAACTTTATTTCCTCTGAGTCTCTGGGGAGTCAGCAGGGATGTAAGGCGAAGTGGCAGTAGCTGCAGGAGCCTGAGCAGAGCTGGTGCTGGGAGGGCTGGCATGAGCATAAAGAAATTTAAATATCCAGGACTGAAATCCAGTTAATGGGTCTCCTTCATCTGTCTTTGGATCTTGTGTAGCATCTCCTGCATCCGCCGCAGCTGGAATAGGCAGATGCATCAAAATGGGGCCTTCTGGAGAGTCCCATGGTATTGGGGAAGTGTCCCCAAGTTTTAATCCTTTGAGTCAGGGCCTTGGTAGCTAGGACATATGATGGAAACTGGGCAGAACCACCAATCAATGTCCCAAATATGCACCAGAGCCAGGAATCTTTCTTTTCCCAAACCAAGAGATACTGAGGTTTATGATTAAACAGGGGACTTCCCAGACTGTCGACCCCTACCACCTCACACTGCTCTCACCTCTTCATCTTTCTCTCGGATTAGCTTCTCGGTTTCTGGATCCGTCCCTGGTGGAACAGCAGGGATGGGGAAATCGGTACCACTCTCACGAGTCAGTTTGCTAAGGGGAAGGGGAAAGGAGGGCTGGTAAGGCTAGGGGATCCCAGCACCAACTTAGGTTGAGCCCAGGGCCTGTAGAGGAATAAAAGAGGGGCTTGGTCTCATCCAAGGCTGCATTTGGGATCCCCCTGCTGGCTTCCAGTCATACTTGCGATTCCGTTCCTTCACCACCAGGCGGGTCATGCTCTGGATGCACTGTGCCCGGTAGTTCTCATAATGTGTCTCCCTGGTCACATCCTTCAGGTCCTGCATGTGGGTGCGCACCAGCATTGTCCTCAGCTTCACAAAGTCACAGTGCCCTGGGTTTTCCACTGCATAGCAAGGCTAGGAGTCAGCCAGGGGCATGCATAGGGGAGAGATACTAAGTGAAGGAAATACCTTGGTCCCAAGCTCAGTGCTTTACCTTCTACAATGCCCCAGGGGTACAGTCGGCCCCGAACTCGTCGCCCTCTGGCCTCTACCACAGTGTTGCTGCCAATTACCGCAAAGGGAATGCTTTCCTGAAAGAATTAGGGGAGAACTCCCTGTTCTCACCTGTTCCTTTCTACCTCTATCTTCATCTTCTCTGCTTCACTGTAGGAAGCCAGGGTCCTCCTCCTCCCCAGGAGCCTGTCCTTATATAGAAGTCTACTCTCCTCTTCTGCCCAAGAAAAAAAAGATGGAAAAGGGATGCCCTGGGATAGCCCCACCTTTAGGGCTTGGTCCTGTAATTTGAAGTCCTCATCCTCATCAGAGTCACAATCTGGGAACTGGTAGATCTTGATTCCAAAGTGCTCAATCTCCTCACGGATCTGGCAAATAGATGAGGAGCCCACAGTTCTGGGGACAGCATCTTTTCTAGAAGCCCACCTGCTTCCCTCCCCACCCACCACCAGCTTCCCTCACTTTGCGTTTCTTGCGGTCCACTTCAGGAGGTGTCAGTGTGTCCGCCTTAGCCAAGATAGGCACGATGTTGACCCGCTGATGCAGGGCCTTCATGAATTCAACATCCAATGGCCGGAGCCTGGGGAACAGGAATCTGTGACCACCTGCTAGTGGCAGCCCTGCCCCTGATGCTCTTGGCCTGTTCCCTTGGCAGCACCCAGCGGTGCCAGGAGCCTCAGGCTTGGACCATACCCGTGGCCGTAGGGCGAGATGAAGTACAGGCAGCAGTGCACCCTGTTGTCTTGGATGTTCTTGCGGTTCAGGCCACTCTCATCTCGGAAATACTGCTCAAACTGCTGATCGATGTATTCTGCCACAGGCCTCCAGCTGGGGCAGGGACAGACAAGCAGAGAAACTGTGGGAGTGGGGGCTGCCTAATGAGCTCTGGGATTGCAAAGAAGTAACCCTTTCCCCGAGTAGTGTTTTCAAGATATTATTATTCTTTGGTTTGCCTTACTATACCTTCAGAGAGACTCCAGAGTGGGACAGGTGTGTATTTCACATGTCCTGATAGAAAATTTTATTGAGTATATAGGCAGAGTTCAATAAATACTAGTTTGATGAGAGAAAAGGGTGCGGGTGACCCAACAAAGCCGTAAGAACAGTAAGATGCTGGAGGCAAACACCATCTGGAAGCCAGGGAAGTCCTACGTCAGGCTAAACCCAGCCTCAGAGCCTTTGCTCATATGGTTCCCAGTCTTTCCTCCACCTCTCCAAACCTGCTCCATCCTTAGAGGCTCTATCCAAGAACCACCTCTTCCATGAAGGCTCTTTTAACTATACCAATGCACACTGCTTTCCCCTCCACTACACAGCTATATATTTACACACAATGATATTTCCATCAGTTTTAGATCCCACAGATTATGGCAGTCCCCAAGAGATTATAAAGGAGCTGAAAAATTGCCATCATATTATAGCACCAACGCATTACTCATGTGTTTGTGGTGATGCTGGTATAAACAAACCTACTGTGCTACTTAATAACAATATTGACTCTGTTACTGACTTATATATTTATTATACTATGCTTTTTATCATTATTTTAGTGTATGCCTTCTATTTATTAAAAAAAAAAAAGACAGGGAATACAGCTCCTGGGAATACAGGTAGGATGCCTGTGCAATGCTCTGAGTTTGATCCCAGCACAAAACAAGAGTTTGCTATAAAAAAAGTTGCTGTGTTATGCCTCATAGATTCATGTTTTTAGCATTGCTTGATTGCATCAGGAGGTCACATTGAGTGATCGACATATCACCTAGGTTCATGTAAGTATGTCCCATGATGTCTGTACAATGATAAAATTACCTGATGGACACATTTCTAAGAAATGTATGTCCATAATAAAGTAATGCATGACTATATAAATATTTTTAAGAATTTCAGTTTTGGCCTTCTATTATCTAGTGTAATTCTTACTCTCTGTACAGGTAGATATTATGCATTTTGACCATTGTCATTCTCATTTTATATATAAAAAAATTAAATCCAAAGCAGCTAGAAGACTTGCTCCAGATCAGTTGGCTAGTAAATCCTCTACCCACCTGAGTCCCTGGCTTTCTGACTCCTAGATCAGTGTTTGCCATTATACATTGGCCTGACCCATTTACTGACTTTCATCTGATAGATACCTATGTTAGAGAACTGCTCCCCCATCTCAATCTTCCACCACTACCTACTAGACTGTACACATCTCAGGCACAGGGACCATTCATATTTGTTCTGCATTTCTTAAAATGTTCAACACAGGCTAGGCACCTAGCATGTGTTTCATAAATTCCTACTGATTGATTAAATGAGTTTATTAAGGTGCACTATAGGGCTTGGGCTATAGCTCAGTGGCAGAGCGTTTGCCTAGCATCTGTGAGGCACTGGGTTCAATCCTTAGCACCACATAAAAACAAACAAAATAAAGGCATTCTGTCCTACAAGTACAAAAAAAAATTTAAGTTACACTATAAACTGTGATATGGAGATTTTATTATTATTGCAATTGAAGTTATTACTAATATTATCATGGAAGGTAAATAGACTAAAGGAGAAAGCAGTACTTGCTACAGTAAGAAGCAGGTACTGGTTGGTACTAGAATTTCAAGACAAGTGGTTTGCTGAGACATACTGCTAGAGTGGGAAGGGTGACGACAATATGGAAATCACTTCACCCCACCAGGATTAAGACCATGTCCCATGAAGTAGCTTAGTGCTGTGGAAAAATATAAGAAATAGCTTTCCCCCAAGGCTTATGAAGTTGAAAAGGAATTGGTTAGCTGGGCTTAAAGTAATGATATGTAGTGATGAAGCACATAATGGGGGGTTCACAGCACAGAAAGGTCTACTAGAGTCCGATTAGTCTGTGAGGTGTGTGACCTGTGTAGTCACATAGGGACCTGCACTTAGAAGGGTTGATTTGATGTTCTGCTGTTACTATCTTGAAATCCTTAATAATTTTGAACAACAGGCCCTATAATTGGTCCTTCGATTATCATTACAAAATTTGGTGAGTATGAGTAGCCCTTTACAGTTTCCAATGCACAGGCATCATTCTGGGATGATTTTCAGATCAACTGGTTAAGGTGATAAGGGAAGGTATTTTTCTATTTTTAAAATTTCTTTAGTTATAGGTGGACATGATGTCTTTATTTTACTTTATGTGGTACTGAGGATCGAACCCAGTGATTCACACATGCTAGACGCAAACTCTGCCTCTGAGCCCCAGCCTCAGCCCTTAATTTTTAATTTTTAAAAAAAACTTTTTGCAGATCAATCCCCACTGAACCCTGGTGTGCTTTACCATTGAGCTACATCCCCTGCCCTTTTTATTTTGAGATAGGTTCTCACTAAGTTGCTCTGGCTGGCCTTGAACTTGCAATCTTCCTGCTTCCATTTCCTGAGTAGCTGGGATTATAGGGGTACATCACTGTACCAAGAAAGACTAGTATTTTCCAACTTTAAGAAATAAGAATGCAGCCATGCTCAAGATCATGCAAGATTTGAACTGTGAGTCTAGGGCTCCAAGTACCACCTGCCTAACTTTGTTAAAGGTACCACCTTTTCTTTCTTTTTTAATTATTCTCATCTACTTACGTACATCTGACCATTACCTCAGCTTCTCTCCAGTTCATAAAAAAAATAGCTAGGAATGGTGAAGTGTGCATACATGTGTGCATGTGTGTGTGTGTGTGTGACAAAACTACCTTTTCTTCTGGCAGAGAACCTGGAGGGTGCCTGGTAAACAAAGTTCTACCCATTTATTTTCTGTTGCCTCTCCTTCCCTTCAGCCCTCCCTCCATGCTCCTCCATACCCCTTTCAACAAGACCTTGCATCTAAAAGAAATGGATGTTTATTGAGCACCCACTGTGTCAGGCCCTGTGCTTCATGTTTACTTTTTTTGAGGCTCTTCTTTTTATCTTCTTTTTCCACCGCCATTATAGAATTATAGGTCAGAGTTGAATGTTAGAAATCATCTATTCCAACCCTTTCCCTCTCATTTTACAGAGAAGAAGACAGTTATCCAGTAAGGGGAGTGATATGCTTAAGGTCACAAAACCCTCTCTCTCCTGACAGGTACAGCTATGTGTGCACCTGTGTGTGTTTGCGAAGTTAGTGATGGGTCAGGGGCAGCTGGGGTTGTTTTTGGTTAGACATACCACTCTGTGTTGTTGACTGCATCCCCAAAACCTGGTGTGTCCACAATGGTAAGCCGCAGCCTCACACCCTTCTCTTCTATATCCACTGCATGCTTAGTGATCTCCACGGTTTGCATGATCCGTTCTGAAGAAGGGGGACACTGAGGCAAGGGCAAGGGCAAGGGCAAGGGCAGGGACCTGCCCAGTCAGCACAAACTATCCACCCCAGTCAGCTTTGCTGCCCAGACTGCCTCATCTACTTTGCCCCCCTTCCCACCCACAGGCTGCCTGAGGGCCTGTTCTCTGGGAACCAGCAAGGAGCACATTTCCCAACACAGGAAATGCCGGTGGCTGTTGGCTCTGGCCCCAGCCTTTTCTCTGCTCCCGGCCTTTTTGGATTCCTGGAATCCTTTGGGGGTCAGATTCTCATTCAAAGAGCAGGATTCTGATCCCTGCCCTGCTTCAGCACCCAAATCTTTAGGGAGCTGGTTGGTGGGATGCCAGGCCAGACAGGACTTTGGAGGGATGTTGTCAATCTCTCTAGGAGGTCATGGTTTCCGGCATGCTGGGAAGGGCCCCATTCCCTCATCCCCACCCCCCGACTCTGTAGTGACTTTAACATCCCAAGACAGGTCTCTCTGCCTGTCTTTACGCTCCTCTCTTTTCCTTACCTTCAGCACTGAGGAGTTTCCGGTCCCGGTATAGATCAGTGAGGAAGAGACTATTGACAAGAGTGGATTTACCCAGGCCAGACTCTCCTGACAGGAGAGAGGACAGAGGCACCAAATCAGAAGGTAAGATCTGTAGCCAAAGGGCAGCTCCACTGGATCAAGGTTTGGTGGGAAAACTGTTTTCTTATCAATTAGGACTAGACTAACCAAACCATGGCATTTTAGAGCTACAAGGAAGCAGAGATCAGCTCATCCAGCTGTCTCATTGGAATGAAGAGAGGCAACAGACTGCCCAAGGTCACACAGAAGGAGCCTACACTACAAAACTCTTGAACTACTTCATTCCCCCCAACATATACATATTTTTGGCCACCAAAGACTCCTAGCTATTTTGCAAAGACTCAGGCATTTGCTGCTTGCTCCTTCTTCCTTACCCATGCCCCTTTATCTATCTATCTCTCTCTCCCTCTCAAACACACACACACACACACACATACACACTCCCCACCTAAAAACATCCCTTGCCCAACCCATCCCTGCCCTTTTCTACCTGCCACCATGAGGGTAAAGTCAAAGCCTTTCTTCACAGACTTTCGGTGGACTTGGTTGGGGAGGGTTGCAAAGCCCACATACTCCTTGTCATCCTAGTGGACAGGAAGGCAGAATGCATCAGGGTGAGAGACAAGAGGGGCCCTAGCACCCAGCACCAGTCTTTTCTTTCTTTCTTCTAGATCTTTCCCCAGCCTTAAAGGAGCAGTGCCAGACTCTTTTGAGTTCTCATCAGAAGCCACCAGCTGGGCCTCCTGCCCTTGCTGATACTACGTTTCCAGTGCTCTTGGGGGCAGACAAGAGTGGAGTTGGGACTGACACAGGACAGAAAGAGATCCCAGGTGCATACATACACACATACATGCACATAAACCCCAAGGCTGTCTGCCCGCTTCCTGGGTCTTCCTATACCCACCCACTGAAAGGCAAAGGCAGGGCTGAAGTCTCTACCTCAGAGGAATCATAGGGATCAAGCCTGCCCCATGGGCTGCGGGGCCGGGTGCAGGGGCTGAGAGGGGCTGGGGCACAGAAGTACTGCTGGCTGTCAGAGGACTGGGGCCACAAGGGGGGTCTGAACTCCAGGTCATCATCATAGAAGTCTGGGGCCTGGGGCCTTGGCTCCGGGATTTGGGGCCTGGACACCCTGGTTCTGGCCTCCGGTGAGTGGCAGCGCTCGCTTCCTGGGAAGTCCTTCACGAACATGCTCAGTTCTGCATCATCCGTGGTGTCCTCCAGGAAATGCTTGATCTGGAGGACGTGGGTTGGAGGTAGTGGGGTGGGGAGATGGAGTAGGTGGGAGGTGGCAGGAGGGAACCGGAAGGGAAGAACAAGGAAGAAGGCAGACATAGGAGGTGAGAAGGAGAGGGGAGAGGCACTCATGGTTAGAAGGGAAAGAACTTGGCAGCCAGGCCAGAGGATGTGCTCACCATCCCCCTTACCTTCTCACCAGTATCCTCAAGCTAAGACATGGGGAAGGGCCCCAGGGTCCAGGAGGATCCCTAGGCAGCCTCCAAAGCCCTGCTCTCCAGTTTTGGAGCTCCGTCTCAGCAGGATGTTTGTTGAGGCTGCCCTTTCTGGGGGTCTGGACAAGCCAGGATCCAGGGACTGTCCCACAGGCCAGGAAGTTAAATTGAATAAGAGGGAGAACAGCGTGGCTGAGGACTCAAGGTGAGTACAGGGAGTCAGAAGGCTAGGGGCACAGGGAATTAGGACAGAAAGAAAGGAGCTGCCTCCCAAGCAGGTCAAGAACCAGCAGGAGGTTCTGTGTCTGTCACTGCTAGTCAGCAAGCTAGGAAAACCCAGGTAAGGATTCTACCCTGGGTTCTCACTCTCCAGGGTTCAGTGCCCAGAGTTCAATCCTGCTGACCCTACTCTTACTCCAGATGCAAAACCACACCAGAATCTGGCCCTGGACCCCAGGAGAGAAGAAAAAACCTACCAGTGGATGCTGAGTATGGACAGAGGGCAGCCAGGAGGGACCAAATGAGAGGTTGGGAGGACACTGGAAGAGCCTGGAAAGAGGCTGGACCTCCAAGACTGCTGACGGCCCCCAAATGAGAGGAACATCTAGGGAAACCCCTCAGTAGTCACAGTGTGGTGGTAGGCAGAGAATGGAGTGGCTCCTCTATAGAAGCCAGTTCCACTCCACCCCCAGCTTGGGAGATGGGCAGCTCCCCCTCAGCTCTAGACCCTATATCTTCCCCTCTCTCCTTTGGGGGTCAACATCCTTTGTGGAGTGCCTGGCAGTGCTGGGCTCAGCTCTGCCTCACAACACCCACGTGCCACCCCCAGACAATGAACAACGGCCGGCTGCAGAAGCTGACTCACCCTCTGGGGGTTGGCCAAGCCAAGGGGGCTACCCTGGACCACTGTGGAGTCTCAGGCAAAGTGAAGGAGATAAGATGGTCAGAGTCTTCCTGCATAGCTCCATTTTACAAAGGGATGAAATGAAAGAGGCAGATGTGCACACTGTCAGTTTATGCCAGAGGGAAAGGACTAGGAAAGGGAAGCTAGAAGGAAAAGTCTCCTAAGAGTTACTTTCAGGCGTCACCTCTCATCCCCATACCTGCTTATAACAAACTTCGGAGCTTGCCTGGACAGAAGGGAGGGAAGAGACCCTTTAGCCTGAAACTAGAACTGGCATGTGGAGGTTTAGTGATCACAAGAGGCAATCCTAAGGCAGGCCTGATATTTGTGAGATCTGTTGGGTTAACTATACAACCCCTTTTATGCTTATTGGTCTCGCATAATGATTTAATTGTGTCCCTTTTCACTCTCAAAATTATCCCAGCTTGGACAATTAATGATACAGCAAAGAGAAGGAATGGGGCTTGAGGGATAGCATGTCCTGTTGTCTGGCAGCTAATGAGTCTGAGGAATTCCAGGAAACGTCGTCTTTCTACACAACCCCACAGTGCCCTAGCAGTTGGTCTGGGGATTGGCTAAGGATGGGAGAGAGAACTCTGCTCAGGGGGCACTGAGCAGAGGGGCAACAGGAAAGGGAAAAGGGAAGGTGCTGATGGAGAGTCCCCCCACAATCTTCCAGCAGAGACACCAGGAACTCGGCACTGTCCTTTCTGACAGTCCTGGCTATGCATCAGCATGGAGGAAGCCAAAGGGCTCTAGCCAAAGAGTCACAACACTAGGATCCTCACCTCCCATCTGTTCATACCCCCCAACTCTGCCACTGACTTTGAGCACCACTCCCAGTTAAGGCAGGGGGAAGTCAAGTCAGGTCCACCCAACTCCCAGAGCAGCATCTTACCCCAGCTTCAGTCCCATCCTCAGGGACAGAATTCCCTTGCCATCCCAGTGAACGGTCCATGCCCCACACTTCAGACTCCCTGTGAGCAAGCTCTAGGTCTTAATTTTATCTCCCAGGCAAAGTTCCTCACACACAGAAACAGCCTTGTCTTGATGCTCTTGTTGTCATCTGGCTTCCGGACTTGCTCCTTTCCCTTTTTCTTTGACCTCCCTCTGTCTCTGGCAGGGGCCAAAAAAGCCTGTGGAATGTCCTACCCCACTCCCTCCTCCTCCTCCCCTTCCCTTGGCTCCCACCCTCCAAGGGCAGCTCAGCTGCAGCAGGATCACTTGGTTCCTCTGCAGTCCCCTCCTCCTCTGATTGGCTGCCCCATGACGCCTGCTCGCTGACTGCCCTGGTGGGCACAGCACCAACCTCCCAAGTCTATCTGCAGCACAGACTCTTGATCCACTTGGCCTCTTCTGTTAACCCCCAAGGACCCTGATGCTTGCCTGAAGACTATGAACTGTCCCCAAGGTGACCTGACCCATCAGTACATCCAGGACAGTCACCCAGGAAACCTATTCCCAACTCCACCCCCCATCTCTCACCTTAAGCAGTGCTGAAGTAGGGTAGGATATCCAATGATCCTCTGAGTATAAGTTCCAGGGGTCTTCCCAAGTGTCCCTTTGTTTTCTCCCAGCAGGAGAAACTGCTATCCCACTGTCTTAGAAAATGTGCTCCTAGATTTGCCTGCAGAGAATCCCAGCCACAGAAGCAGCTTGGCTCCAGGGACTCTGACCACCCTAGTATACCTGACCTCTTACTCAGGAGGATGGGTATCAATTCTATCATCCCATCATTCTCACAAAATCAATGAGAGAGCTGCTAGCACTTGGTCTCTGAGGGGCATGGGTTCAAGCATATGGGAAACTGAATTCCAGAGGCTCAAGAGCTGCCATTTAGGTGGGAGATGAATTGAGGGGTCTGGCTGGCAGTGTACAAATGGAGCACTCCACTAGGAGTCAGAAGGCCAGTGTTTCTGGTTGGGCTGGAAACACCCCCTTGTAGTGTCTTTAATTTCAGGGTCTTAATGTCCAACTGTGAATGGCCCTTCCTTGCCTCCCAGGGAGACTGGGGAGAGAAATCACTCTGAGATACCTCAAGCTGCTTTGAACCTGAGAGAAGTAGTACTCAAGTCACAGTATAGTCATTAATGTTGATCTGTCATTCTTTTCACATGCAAATGTAAATTCCCTGGGGCTGCTGGGCTGGGGAGTTCTCTACACTGATTCCCAAAGCAGCTAGGACACCAACCTCCTTTCACAAGGAGACCCTCATAGAGGACTGTGGCCTGACATGAACCAGTAGTCAGCCTAAGGACTTGGCTGGCTTAAGGATAGGGGCCTGAGACTGGAGACTTTGTTGGTGGTGGTGTCTCTAATTAGAAAAGAACAGGGTGGCCTCGGCCAAACTGAAAGCACCAAGACCTTAGCTGAACTGAACTTGGTGTGTAACAGAAAAAGTCCCTCTGGTCCCTGCTGGGCTTGGCACTGGGGATAAACAGTGTCTCCCCAGGCTTCTATCCCTGGAACAATCAGCCTGTCCATCCCCCAGTGGGGAAAAGGAGTGGGGGCCAGGATCAGGACAGGCACCACTTAGCCTTTCCAAGGAACCCTCTTTGGGGAAGGTTATAGGGTCACCAAGACTTCCTGGCCAAGACTTGGGCCTACGCCTGGACACAGCTTGAGAGACAAGAGCCCAAAAGGTTGGCCTTTCTAAACCTGAAAGCTTCTGATTCCACAGGATGCAGGGAGTTTCCCTCTGGTGGCTGCCCTTAGCCAACATCCTGCCCCACAGGGTGGTCAAGAATCCTCTCCTGCTGTAAACAGCTTGTGCCTCCCAAAGCAGAGGGCAAAGACTGGGAGGCTTCCAGACTGGGAAAGATGGATGTGGCCTGGAGGCCCAGACACCCATAGGCTGTGTTTGTGGCAGGTTCTGGCAACAATGGCAAGAAAAGAGCTGGCATCCTCACAACCAAGCATCAAAAACCTCCTACCTGGGAATCTCTAAGAAGGCTGGCTGGGGTTACTGCTTCTCTTCCCACTACAGGCAGGTGGCAGGAATGAGTCCCCGCCAACCCCCACACACTGCAGAAGGACCTAGTTGGGGAGTTGGGGGGGGGGGGGGTAGGTGCAGCAGAGGAAGCTTCCCCACTGTTCCTGTCTGGGAGGCAAATGATACAGCTGATCCCACCCCACTGGATGGTGGGGTGGGCTTTCCTCTCAGGTGTTCAGGTGTTTCTTTAAGAAAGGGGCTGCCAGGTTTTGGAAAGGAGGGACCAAGAGTCTCACCATCCCTTTTAGGATGCTGGCAGTTTTGTGGATCTCCTCTATGTTTTCCAAAGGAAGTTGGTGCTAGCTTCTGCGCTCCCGGTAGGTGAGTGAGGAAGGATCATCTAGGTAACAGATGACTCAGGCAAGGGCGGAGACCCTCACCACCCTCATCGCTGACGCGCCTTCCCCAGAACAACATGCTGGTCTCTACCGCGGGCACCTCCCACAACACAGACCCACCCCTTCCTCCAAGACCAAGGGCAACTCGTCGGGGGTCGCGGCCTGTTCGGTAGCTGCTTGGCTTGGGGGGAGAAACTTGGGAACGGCGACGCAGCGCCACCCGCTAACAGTGCCTGCCCGAGCCTGGAGCTGGCTACAGCTCCTCTCGCCCCGCATAGCCGGGGCTGCAGCGCCGCGGGTCTCCTCGGAGCCGCCCGGGAGCGGCGGGCCCTGAGCGCCCTGGCCCTGCCCTGCACCCGCCGGTCTTACCATGGCTGCAGCCCGGGCCGGGCCGGCTCCGCCTGGACAGCGCCCGAGCGACCCGCGGCTGGAGCTGAGCGCGGACCTCACCGCACCGCCTGCCCCCACTCGCCTCCCCGAGTCCCGACCGCTTGGGGCGGGGCGAGTCGGCGGGGGCGGGGCGAGTCGGGCCCCGGGAGGGGCCTGCACCTCCGCGGTGGGTGCCCGCGCGAACTAGGCTTGGGGCGCCAGCCATCCCCTGAAGCATAGAGCAGGGTGGAGGCCTCGGCTCCTTGACCCTGAGCTACTTTGGCTACCTGGCTTTTTCTTAATCCTTGGAGTGGCTTCTTTGGACAGCTCAGGACCACGGGAGTTTAAACCAGTACCCAAAAAGAAAGCAACAACCACCTAGCATCCCTAGAAGGAGATGCCTTTGCAAAGGGAGGAGTTGCCATACGAGTTGGAGAGAAACATTTGGTCACCCCAGGGATTCATCAAAGTGTTATGGAAGTTTGATGTCCAAGTTACTGATTGTCCATACCCTCACCACACCTCCTAAAGGAGAATGTCAAAACATTCTCCAGCTCTATCCAAGCTGTGGAAAAGACAGGTTAGCAGTAAGTTCCCTTTGTGCAGGACCTCAGATTAGAGATTAAAGAGGATTTACTGCAGAAATTATTCAGGGATCATCTGCTGGAAGGCTAGAAGGGGGAGGCTGAGTGGCTTTAATAGGGCATTGGAGCCTTGCCTAGAGCTGAGGAAAGCTGGAAGGGCCTCTGGGGAGGCCAGCCTAGGCATGACCCAGGCTCAGCTGGACCATACTTCCTCTGACAAGCAGGTGAGATGCTGTAGGACAGATGCTTCAGCATCTTTAAAAGCATTAGAAGCTCAGAGGTGCCAGAGCAACAGCTAGAGAGAGGTACATGCTTGGAGGTGGGGAGTTGGTGAGGTCCAGAAGCATCCCCCTCAGACCCCAAAAGCCCTCCTACAAGGACAGGCTGACTGGCCTTTGCCTGTATTTGTTCTGGACAAAACTGAGCCCCATAGGTATGGCGCTGTCTATGGGTGGAAGTGTCAGATGCCTGCCTATCTTATTTCTATCTGATCTGTGAGCTATTGGCCTCAATTGAGACCAGTCAGTATTCAGTCAAGGGAGGAATAGCAGATAAGATCCGGCTCTGGAAAACATGGAACTGCTGTAGGAGATATGACTGGATATTTGGCACTGGTGAACTGGGAGATTAAGAGAGGTTGTTGCTTAAAGACATCAGGAGCAAATATTCATTAACCAGCAAGTTGAGGAGAAAAACTCCTAGTAGCTGGGCAACCATGAGCAACTCACTTCACCTCTCAGGCTCTTAGTTCCTCCTGAAAATGAGGGGAATTAAACTAGGTTATTTTTAAGTTTCCTTGCAATTTCTGGCATTCTAAAAGTAGATTTAATGAAGAAGGAGGGTATGCTGTAGGCCTTGGAGGAAGAAAGCAAGGTAACAGAAGGAGATACTAAAGAAAACTTGGACTTGAAGAGACTCAGATGGCTCTGGAAGCATAGGAAAATGGGGATCTACAGCTTGACTCCAGTGAGAAGGGACCTCTGAAGTTCTAGAGAGGCTCCCAGAAAAGGCCTGGGGTAGACCCAGGAAATCTGAAGCTTACTCAGGAGGACAAAAGACCTAAAGAGATAATCAATGGCTGTTAGA